ATTGTAAAAGTCTCTTGACACATGTGTGTTGAGACAGCCAGCGTGTATCACTTAATTTTAACAATTTTCGATATTTTTCTTGAAAACTATCGCAAAACTCGCGAAAAATTGCTGTACGTTTGGGACTGTTATTAATGTAACTAGCTATTTTTCTTAAAAAATCATCACAAAAAGATGGTATTTTTTTGCTGCAATCTTGATAAATATCTTTGTTGTTATTCCAACAGTCATAATCAAATGGAGGAGCCTGAAAAATATGTAAACTATCTATGTTTTTAACTATTTTTTCTAATATATGTCTGTTCGTAGAATATCGTATCCTTTAAGGTTTAAGACTGAAATTATAACAAAATACTAAAAAGATTGGAACATTTATTTATTTAGTAACAAACACTACTTTATTGGTAATATAAAAAAATAATTTTTACAAAAATAAACATTGAATTTTTGTTTAAATTGAAGACCGTGTCTTCAAATTGTACATTGAGTTTTTAAATCGTATTTCAAAGATATTCAGTTATAAACAATAAAAAAAGTATTAATTAATTATTAATTAATCCTATATTACATTAATATAACAATAAAACAAAACAAAAATAAAAGTACGCAAGTAATGTTACTAGTGTCATCTGTTTTGCTACATAACATAAATATTGCTTTAACAACATGTTTCAACAACATTTTTAACCGATTTGGCTAATTCTTTTATCATGAATCATGCTTGTTTCATTTGTCACCGCGGTTTCCTTCGTCATTGCGGTTTAATTCGTTATCGAGCGCAATGATTTAAAAAATCTGAAGGTTTTAGCCGTCGCTCGTTGTTTGTTAAAAAATTATTAACCAAAAAGTTGTATGAATGTAATGTAATTTTTCAAGATAGTTCTATAAAATACACACTTTTGCTTTCACTTTTCTCACTCTTTAGCTTAAGTACAACAGACTTGGCCCCCTCCCGCCGCGGTGCGGGGAATTTGGGAGGCGTAGCCCCCCAGTTACACGGCTAGAGATAGACATCTTTTTTATTAATATTTCGGAAACACTATAAGCGACCGCCATATAGCCATGTTTATATTATTGAAATATGGTAAAAAATAAAAAAGATGTCTGTCTCTAGCCGTATAACTGAGGAGCTATGCCCCCCGCACCGCGGCGGAGGGGGGGGCGCAAGTCTGTAGTACTTCAGCTAAAGTTACTTAACTTAAAGTTTAACAATCGCAAATTGAAATGGAGGTGCCATAAACCCCGAAAAGCTTGATTATCAATATTGGAATAATAACAAAGATATTTATCAAGTTTGCAGCAAAAAAATATCAAAATTCGGAAAAATCCTTATTCTATATAATTACTAAATATTTTTTTAAGTTACAAAATTATATTTAACAAAATATATTTCTTTAATTTAAAGAATTTTTTCAGTGTATATTACCAATTTAAATTTCGATTTTCTTATTTTTTTAATAATTTAATAGTTATAAATAATTACATTTATTTTTTTCACGTATAATATTTGTAAATAGAAATATTTACAAAATATTACTACAAATATTTATTTCTTGTTTACTATAAATATTGTATAAAATATTTAGTCTATATTTTAATAATATTTTGAATAAAGATTTTGATATTTTTTCCCTTTATGTACCTAAATATTTATATATATAAATATTTATATATTATTTTTAAAAAATAATTTGATATAAATATATGTAAATCTTTATCATAAATATTGTGTGCTGTCTGGGATATTTTTTTATGGTAATTATTTATATTTATTATATTTATATATTTATCATTTATTATATTTATATTTATCATTTATTATATTTATATTTATCATTTATTATATTTATATTTATCATTATTAAATATTTATCATAATATATCTTTTTCATACCTTACTCAAACATAAGAATATGTAGAAAAATTTGTCGAATATATTTTCGAAATATTAAAATCTTTCTTATAAATATTTTGAAAAGATTTTGTAAATATATATTTTGTGCTGTCTGGTTATCTCGTCGATGGTAATATTGAAATCGAGTTAGGATCGATATCACGCGTCGGTATCATATCGATGAGGAAAATAATACGACACAAAAAGAAGCGGTATGAATTTTTCAGATCATGATTAGGGCCGGTATTCATAGGCGAATCTTATTTCAAGATTATTTCTTAAGTAATGTCTTAAGATGCGAATACGGCTCTGTGATTGGTTTATGTCATCTTAAGATAGTACTTAAGATGATCTTAAATTATAAGAATACCGGCCTATGGTCGGGGTATTCATAGTCCGATCTTATATTTAAGATTATCTTAAGTACTGTCTTAAGATGTCATGAACTAATCACAGAGCCGTATTCGCATCTTAAGACATTACTTAAGACGGTCTTGAAATAAGATTCGACTATGAATACTGGCCTATGATTATTAATTAGATGCACAGAATAATCAACATATGTGTATGCTTGCACGATTATACAGATGCGTTTTGACGGGTCTTTAATCTTTCTGAGTAAAAAACGCTATCTCGTTTGAAAGGCAAAAGCGATATAACTGAAGCATAAGAGCTTATTAGTGTGGAATGAATTGGCGAACGTCATAAACATATCGATCAACGCGGCCGCGTGCGACAAGCGCGACATCACCGAAAGATGGCGAGGAAGTGACGGGCGGGGAACGGTGGTGCCAGGATGAGGACGCGGAATGCAGGGAAGACAGAACAGCGCTCGCGCGTGTCTCGGCAGGCTGATCGAGGCTGTGACGGCAACCTTAAAAGACGAGGAAACGTGACCGCGATAAAGAAGCACATATTTAACGATTCGCGGAATCGCGACAAGATTGCGGAAGATTCAAACGCGCTGAGAGGCGAGCGCGAGCGAGCGAAATATACGATAGCTGTATAATTTATCCGCAAAAACGCGAAAAAAGAGCGTTCGTGAGTGAATTGGAACGTGCATGCGATCTCGTGAGGATATATTTTTAGAATTTTGGTAACTGTGCTCTTGTATTGTGAGTGAAAGAGAGAGAAAGAAAGAAAAGGAGAGAAAGAGAGAGAGAGAGGATCCCGGCGCCACGACGAGACGGAGAAATACAGGTTGTGTAATAAACTTAACGCGTCATCGTGTTTGTTCTCTCGTTCTCTTGTTTGCTGTTCACTCGCGGCGGAGTGTCCAATCGTCCGCGCTTCTGAGTGAATGGGCGGCGTGGTCGACGTTTGTAGGTTATACACATTCACGGCTTGCGAGTGACAATCGTGTGGGATCGCCAGAGAGAATTATATCCATAAGAAATGCTCGAGCGCGTATTACTCGCGATTACGCGCGATTGATCTTTTTCGAGCATATTTGCGTTGTACAACTTATGTTGTATCAAGAGAAGAATTTTTGCCGTTTCTTCGTCTTATTTTGCTTATTTGCCTTGCGTTTTCAAGCAATTTTTATGTTATAATTGGTATACGGTTTACTAAGCATGTTTAAAGCCTCTTTCTGTCGGGCACGAGTAATGCAAGCAAATGTGTTTCCTTTGATGCAGATTATACAACAACGATATCTGCTTCTTTATCAATCAGTAGATATCCACCTTGGGTAGAAATCATTCGTCAAATTTCTGCGATAAGAAAGTGGGTGTATACCGAGCGTGCCGGCGAATAGCGGATATATGAATATTCGCTGTTAAATTACTATGGAATAAGAAAAATACAATTTTCTATAATTAATCGATTTTTCGCAATTAGTAGATAATTCTCTCTGTATTTTATTTCTTCTTTTATCTTTGTTTGTTAACATGTTTTTGTAAACATATGTAGCAACAGATTCATTTAAATAGTTAACAATAGCAAAGGTCGTGATTTATTCGTTTTGCCAGCCAAAGATCATTTTAACTCACTTGTGGAAAGTTTCTATGGATATTTAATTTTGTTTCTTTGCCTGAACATCTTATAATCAAGCATTTTATAATCAGAGTTGTGTCATAGATTTCAAGATTATGTTTTTGTAAATTATTTACATATTATGTATGTGATATATACATGATCTTTTTTATGTAGACAGTAAAAACTATGTAAAATATAAGTTATATCAAAATATACAAAAAAAAAAGAAAATAAAATTATGAAATAGTTGTGGTATATTTGTCTTGGATATTAATTATAAATGTAATGTTCAAAGAAAATAAATTGCATGAAATTTTTATTTCATTATGTGACAAATTGGTAGATTTAATTCTAAAGATAAAAGTGTAACCAGAAAATTCTATAAATTTAAACTTGTGTTTAGGAAATAATGCTCATAAATTTATATCAAGATACTAAAGGTTAAATAAAAATAGAAACTTCTTAATTAGTTTTTTATCAAACCATATGTTCTTTAAACAGCATCTATAGATTACTTAGTTACATTAAATAAAAAACCTGTGTATTCATATATATATATATATATATATATATATATATAAAACAAAATAGCATATATATTTCTGATCTGTGATTTGTTCCGGAAAAGGACCTGATAATATGATTATCACAGAGTTGTACAAAAATAGAACATATGGTAGAATGCATTGGATGTTATATGTACAACGGAACATTTTTGAATGGAGAGAATTGTATGTAACAACCTGAAGATGAATTCCACCAAGAAGAATTTGTTGAATGTCAGTTTACGATGTCACATGTGCATATATCTTGAAATAAGTGTGTGCTATGTCTCTGTCATACAAGATATCAGCAGCTAATGTCTCGTGAGTTTAATAGTGACTGTCTCAAGAACTTAGTGCCTCCTTAGGAAGATTACTCAAGCAAGTCAAAAAGCACATCTAGGCAAAGCCGTGAGAAATCATGTCTGATATTACTGTTCAAGATTTACAGGAGCTTGTCGAACACTTCTCAAAGACCACCTACAGGACCAGAGAAGCAGATCGTACAGTAAGTGTACTACAAATGTAAAGTAAATGTTCCAACGATTGAAACATTAATATATTTGCATTTAGCATTTCTAAAGAAGTTTTTAAAATTTTGTTGAAAAATACTTCTTTATATGCTAATTTGTAATATTATTTATTAAGCATTCAATAATTGAGTTCATATTATTCAGTGATTAAGACTTGATTTATTTTTTAGTTCAATTACTGATCACTGGTGTTATTTAATATATCTCATTATAATTGATATTTATTGATTATTTCATAGTATTTTTTGATTGTTGACAAACCAAAGTTTTAAACGTTAAGTTACGTTTAAGTTTTAAACATTACATTATAAACGTTACTTTTGTTAGTAATTTAATTAATCACTTATTAATATAAATGTAAAACCAATTATGCTTTTTTACTAGTTTAGTCATTGGGATATTTACTTTATGCGTGATTATATTGTGTCTATTTGAGTGTGGTTTAACAGAATGATTATTATTGCAGAGTCAAGCTATTATGCAACGTTGCCTGCTGCTCACTGGCTTAGATTACAATTATTTTACAATTGATAATAGCAACGGTGATCTTTGCGCGCACTATCCCAGCCATCTTATAATATTTAGAAATGATAAGTGTCGTCCGTTTGTGTGCGCAAATTCACGGTCGACGCTATCCATAAAGGGAAACATAGGCGACAACATAGGTCACAGCATGTACGATCCCAACAAGCTCAAGAAAATGATGATAGACGCGAGAAATGCCAGATGTCGTTCGAGATTCCCGGTGCCGGTGATATTTTACGAGGGTAAGCACGTGTCCAGATCGGCGACGTTATCTGGCGGTCCAGAGATCTACGGCAGGGCTGGATTAGATTACTTCTTTGGCGGTGAGGACGACCACCATTCGGTGCATGAACGGATTAAACGGATGGACAAGCCTTTACCTTGGAGAGAAGATTACATGGGACAATCGATGTTCACAGATTGGCAACTGTTGGACAGAGTTAGATCGCAAGACATAAGGCTTTTAAGGGCTCTTATGGTAGATACCATCATAGACTTCATGGTCGAAAAGAAGAAAGTTAAATATGGGATGAAGTAAGGATGCGACACTAAATATCTCTCGTGCATTTTTATGTTGTATGGTATGGCATTGCATAGAATTGCAACGTTTAGAGACAAAAGAAAGACAGAATTATCTAGTTTTGTTAAACCTTATTTTGTAAATGAAAAGAAAAAGAGTAGTATTGCAATTGGAAATGTAGAGTTTATGTAAAAAGAGAGAAAAAAAAAGACGGCTCTTTATTAAGTATATTTTTTTCGTGTTAAATAATGAGTGAAAGATTTTACGAAGGTAAATACATCTTTTTTTGTAGTCAGAAAAGAACACATAATTTGCAGAAGAAAACTGTTTACATAGACAATAATTATTCTATTAAGATGTCCACACTTTCGTATAGATACAGTAAATTCCCATAATAGTTCTTAGCATGAGCAGTCTTTTATTCTGTGAATCCACTTTTAGAGACCCTTAAACAGAGCTCTTTTGTTTGGTACTCAGCGTGACTTCCTCGGAGAAGGTAGACAAAGAAAACAGATACAGGAATTTTACTCTCGTTTCACTGCCATATCCTGGATGTGAATTCTTCAAGGAATTTAGAGAACACGATTATCTGCCCAAGGGCCTGGTATTCGATTGGTATCAGAATTACGTAGATGCGCCAATATCTGTACCTGAAGACTCGATATCGAATCAATTAAGGATCAATTGGGATCTGTATACAACGTGGGATCTAGTCAAATTAACGCAAAACTATTTAAGATTAATATTGAGATACTTGAGCGATAGTAATGACGGGATATTGATTCACTGTATCTCAGGTGCGAATAGGATACATTAATGCTTTGCCGAGATTTCTAATTTTCTGTGAGATTAATGTATTGTCAACTTCAGGATGGGACCGCACGCCGTTATTTATTTCCTTATTGAGAATTAGCTTGTGGGCTGACGGAGTGATTCATTATACGTTAAATTCATACCAGCTACTCTATTATACTATCGCCTACGATTGGATGCTCTTCGGACACAATTTGGAAGATCGGCTCAACAAAGGAGAGGAGATATTCTTCTTCTGCTTCTATTTTCTAAAACATATTTATGACGATAAATTCAGCATACACAAACGTCCGGATAGCGTTAAGCATAACGATGCACAGCCAGACAATTTCGTGATTGGCAGTGAATCCTTTGAAATACTGAATCCTAATGTGAGTCCTAACAGCTCGACTAGCTCCGATAACCAAACGAGCGCAGATAGTGAACCACCAGCTGTGTTTCATTCTGATTCTCTCCTGGAGAGTCAGGATGAGTCTGAAGATAATGGGTATGTTTATATCTTCAATTATTTATCTTTTTACAATTTTATATTATGATTTTCATCGATCATATCAATTTCTTATTCTGACGAAATGTTTGACACATTACAGGAATACTGTACCTGGGAAACTTAAGATCTCTCTAAAGAAGGAAAGTAGTGTTGCAGAAGGCTCGCGTTCACCATTATCTGCAAATCGCACGTCTCCGGTTGGAGTTCCCATACCATGCAATCCTGGTCTTCGACAACGAAACGACTCGACATCCTCAACCGGCTCATGGCAGTTAGTATCGGGGACTGGTAGCCTGTGCGGCTCCACGACTGTTAATGCTCCGCCGATAGACACTGTATGGTCTATCGATTCGGACTGCAAGCCTCATTGTAAAACTTGCACACTCGGCTACCGCATCTCTCCGCCGACAACCGGACGAGGACTTACCGTAGAGAATATTGACGAAGCTATACTGTGAGTTTTTCTTACGAATTTGCTTACAGATAATTTATGCATTATTTTTTTTCCTACAGAAAAAAACTTTCTATAATTCGTACCTTGAATTTGATTACAGAGCGCGTAAGGAACGGTTGAAGTGTCTACGAAGTGTATTTTATAAGATTTATCCACACATTGGATTTCGGATGAAAGAATAACGAGACGGGTAATATCGGCCTGACCAGTAAGTTACGCCGTTAACTATCTGGAGAAAGTCGAAGTCATTTCCACTCAACGCACATCCTTGTGAATAAGACCTCATTGAACGGCTTTTCAAGAGCGTCAATTTATTGTTAACGCGATATCTTTGCCCAATTTAACAATTTTATAGACCACGACACGAGGAGAATAAGATAGTTATATATTACTGTTTCGTTCAAAAACGATTTTATTGCTTTGCTCCCCCTGCCCCCTTTTCTTACGAATGTTGCATAAGAGTTGTAGCACACTATGTGCAGAGATAATTGAATAAAACTTGATATTTTTGTATATGTCTACATTGATAAATATGTTACACTATCAATTTCATTTTGTCATATGAGATTAGTATTAACTCTTTAGCTGCCATGGGAATTATTGGTAATTCCTAACTGTAGTTAACAGTGCCATGAAAAATATGCATATTACTCGTATACGCGTTACTCAATACACAGGGGTATTTTATAAATATTTTATAGATTTGACTTGGAAATAATGATTTTAGTTATGTAACCATGGCACACAGGGAATATCAATCTTTGTACGTTTATACATAATATGTAACTTTTTTTCAACAATAAATATTGTATTACTTTCAAATTTGGCTTTGGCACCTGAGTAGTAATATTTATTTTACATGGCGGCAAAGATCCTCGTGTTAATCCTTGTTGGTCATGTTTACTTATGTCTGTATAAGTTTATAAATGGTACAGACTATATGTGACCCCCGATGGAGTTTTAAATTAATTCTCTGTGTCTCTCAACTGTCTTAATAAAGTTTTAAGAAATAAAGATAATAAATAATTCTCTTTATTACCATCCTGTTTTTGAAAGTTATTCAGAAATTTAAGACTGATAAAATTGCTACACAAATTTATCTTCACTTAGTTTCAGAAATTGAATTTTGATAATTAAAATACATTATGTATGACATTTTAATGTACGTTCTGTATGTATATAAATTTATCGATATTTAAAGACAAAAAAGTACTTTTTTAAGCAACTCATTTAATTATATGCATATAGAAATATAGAGTTTTTATTTTATGATTATACCCTGTTTACATATTATGTACAATAAACTACAGAGTTCTCATATTACATTAAAAAAGTATATATATATATTTTTTTATATAAGAAGTTAAAGATTCATTAAATGTATAATTCGTGATGGTAGCACATGTTCTCTGCAAAATGGGCATTGTGGTTTGTTACGTAACCAGTTACTAAGGCAATCCCAACAAAATAAATGACCACATAATGTTGCTGTTGTTGCTGCTGTCTCTAGGCATAGTTGGCAAGTATGACTAGTATGGTTTACATTAAGTGAATTTGGAATAGTGGTAATGTTCTGTGGCATGTCATTTTGCCAAATTTTTAATAGACATTGAATTATAGTAGTAATTCCTAGTAATTTCAATCCCCAACTGACAGTGACTACTTGTTGACCATATACCTTTAAATTATTGATAGAGTTAGACACATATTACATACATATATACATACATATATATATACATACATACATACATACATATATA